GGTTTTTCTGTCTCTATCTCCTTCAGTTCTGCTCTAATCTTAGTATATCTTGTCTTCTGCTAGTTTTTGAGTTTGTTTGACCTTGCTCCTCTAGTTCTTTTAATTGTGACATTAAGGTGTCAATTTTAGTTCTTTCCTCATTTCTCTTGTGGGCATTTAGTGCTATAAATTTCCCTCTACACACTGCTTTAAATGTGTCTCAGAGATTCTGATACATTGTGTCTTTGTTCTCACTGGTTTCAAAGAACATCTTTATTTCTGCCTTCATTTCATTATTTATCCAGTAGTCATTCAGGAGCAGCTTGTTCAGTTTCCATGTAGTTGTGCAGTTTTGAGTGAGTTTCTTAATCCTGAGTTCTAACTGGAATGTACTGTGGCCTGAGAGACTGTTTGTTACAATTTCCATTATTTTTCATTTGCTGAGGAGTGTTTTCCTTCCAATTTTATGGTCAATTTTAGAGTAAGTGTGATGTGGTGCTGAGAAGAATGTATATTCTGCGGATTTGGGGTGGAGAGTTCTGTAAATGTCTGTTAGGTCCACTTGGTTCCAGATCTGAGTTCAAGTCCTGGATATCCTTGTTAATTTTCTGTCTTGTTGATCTAATATCGACAGTGGGGTGTTAAAATCTCCACTATTATTGTGTGGGAGTCCAAGTTTCTTTGTAGGTCTTTAAGAACTTGCTTTCTGTATCTGGGTGCCCCTGTATTGGGTACATATATACTTAGGATAGTTAGCTCTTCTTGTTGCATTAATCCCTTTACCAGTATGTAATGCCCTTCTTTGTCTCTTTTGATCTTTGTTGGTTTAAAGTTTGTTTTATCAGAGACTAGGATTGTGACCTCTTTTTTTTATTTTGTTATGTTTTTTGCTTTCCATTTGCTTGGTAAATCTTCCTCCATCCCTTTGAGTCCTTGTGTGTGTTTGTGTGTGAGATGGGTCTTCTGAATACAGCACACCAATGGGTCTTGACTCTTTATCCAGTTTGCCAGTCTGTGCCTTTTGATTGGGGCTTTTAGCCCATTTACATTGAAAGTTAATATTGTTATGTGTGAATTTGATCCTGCCATTTTAATGCTAGCTGGATGTTTTGCCCATTAGTTGACATATTTTTTTCATTGTATTGATGGTCTTTACCATTTGGTATATTTTTGGAGTGGTACTGGTTGTTCCTTTCCAAGTTTAGTGCATCTTTCAGGAGCTCTTGTAAGGCAGGCCTTGTTGTGATGAAATGTCTCAGCAATCGCTTGTCTATAAAGGATTTTCTTTCCTCTTTGCTTATGAAGCTTAACTTGGTTGGATATGAAATTCTAGGTTCAAAGTTCTTTTCTTTAAGGATGTTGAATATTGGCCCCCACTCTCTTCTGGCTTATAGGGTTTCTGCTGAGAGATCTGCTGTGAGTATGATGGGCTTCCTTTGTGGGTAACCTGATCTTTCTATCTGGCTGCCCTTAACATTTTTCCTTCATTTCAACCCTGGTGAATCTGATGATGATGTGTCTTGGGGTTGCTCTTCTCAAGGAGTATCTTTATGGTGTTCTCTGTATTTCCTGAATTTGAATGTTGGCCTGCCTTGTTGGTTGGGGAAGTTCTACTGGATAATATCCTGAAGTGTTTTTCAACTTGGTTTCATTCTCCCCATCACTATCAGGTACACCAATCAAATGTAGATTAGGTCTTTGCACATAATTCCATATTTCTTGGAGGCTTTGTTCATTTCATTTCACTCTCTTGTGTCTAATCTTGCTTTCTCATTTTATTTCTTTGAGTTGATCTTCAATCTCTGATACCCTTTCTTCTTCTTGATTGTTTCAGCTATTGAAACTTGTGTGTGCTTCACAAAGTTCTCATGCATGTTTTTCAGCTTTATCAGGCTTTTCTTCTTCTTTATGCTGGTTATTCTGGTTTGAATTTCATCTAACCTTTTTTTAAGGTTCTTGGCTTCCTTGCATTGGGTTATAATATGCTCCTTTAGCTTGGAGAAGTTTGTTATTACCCATCTTTGGGAGCCTGCTCTTGTCAGTTCATCAAACTCATTCTCTGTTCAGTTTTGTTCCCTTGCTGGTGAGGAGTCATGATCCCTTCA